AGTCAAAAATAATTTTTACTTCTCATTTAGTCTGTGCCTTTATGTACTTTGTATATTTTGGTTTGAAATTTATTTTTGATTATTCTTCCAGTTGGACCAACTATTGAGGGAGCGTCTGAAGAAAGAATTGAAGTCATCGAAGGGAAGCCTGTTTCATTATCATGTGATGTCACTGGTAATCCTAAACCAATCAAATCATGGCGTAGAAATTTTACTCCATTCACACCGAGATCTACGAGGTTTAATATACGACCGGGTGGATTATTTATTAGTAAAACGAAGGTCAGGGACAAGGGTATTTACGAATGTGTAGCTTCAAATAAAGCTGGGAATACAACTAAAGTTATAACTCTTGTAGTCTACAGTAAGTTGGAATTTTGTCTTACTATGTGAATTTAAAGAATACTACCTCTTTGGACATAAAATTTAAAGTTTAAACCTGGCCAATATGATTTAGTGTATATATTCATCTGTTAGACTAAAGAATAGAATCTCTATATAAGGCAATATATCCTAAAGGGGTTACTTTCTGAAAGCATGTTGACAAACAGTTCTGTTCACAAAAAGAAGTCTGAACAAACATTGTTGTAGTCTTGTGAATAGAAATCCAAGTTGAGTACCCACTGTCTTATCTGTCTTACTTTCTGAAACAGTCTTGTTGATAAAAGAAGAATAAAAGAAGTTTAAAAACAAACAATGATTCAATCACGTGAATTAATAATAATAATAATTCAACTATAATAAACCCTTTATTTTAAATGGGTTAGAATTAGGTCTATTACACCAAGGTGACATGATCCTGACTAACATTCAACCCATGGAGACAAACATAGACTCTTTATTTTACATGGGTCAGAATTAGGCCTGATACACCAAGGTGACATGATCCTGACTAACATTCAACCCATGGAGACAAACATAGACTCTTTATTTTACATGGGTCAGAATTAGGCCCAATACACAAGGACATGGTCCTGTCTAATTAATACCAAAGTAGACTGTAGAATGTTGCTGAATGTCTGTAATTACATTCAATTCTTATATTTCAGTCCCACCAACAATCGAGAACGGTGAAACCTCCGTCACCATGATGGAAGGTGACCCAGTTTTATTCGAGTGTGAGACGTTTGGAGAACCAGCGCCCTCTGTAGTTTGGAAGAAGAACGACACCATCATGGACGTGACAACTGAAAATAGTCGCTATCTGATATACGGAAGTGGATCATTGGCTATTGATGCAGCGACCCTGAGGGATGCTGGGAGATACAGTTGTCTAGCAACCAATCCTGCTGGTTCCACATCGGTAGATTTCTCTCTTACTGTTCACGGTAGGTTATTTGGATTCAGAATTTGGATTGTGTTTAACATGTACACAATTTTGTCAAAGTTATATTCGTTGAAGTCCAACTCATTAACATAACTTGCAGTATAACAGTGTTACACAAAGAAAAAATAGATTTTGTTTTATTCTACAAAGGTCAAACAAATTTCCTAAGATATCTGGATTTAAACTTTGGTGTGTTTACCATCACTCCCTAGTTTCAGTTATCTTGGTTGCTTTAGATTAAAGTCATGTCATACGATCAAATGGGGCTCGGCTGTATTGGAAGTACACGTGCATACATCCCTCTTGTTGTTGTATATCAGTTATATCCAACATGGATTCTTGGGACTCTAGATTTACCATTTAAATTCTGATCTTATTCTCTAATTGTGGCCATGTTCATTTCAGCTGCTCCAAACCTACCAGAAGATCTTCCAAACTATACAGAAATCATTGAGAATAACCCAGTTATCCTCTCTTGCCCTGCCACGGGAACCCCACCCCCCAGAATAGTCTGGTTAAAGAACGAAGTACTGGTGACAGGGGACGAACTGGGAATACAGGTCCTGTCAGACGGGTCTCTAGAGATAAAGTCAGCAGATTCTGGCGACACTGGAGAATATCGGTGCATGGCTATTAATATAGCTGGCAACGCTACCCAAGTTGTAGATTTGAAGATTCTAGGTAAGGCAGGCTCTACTTCACTGTTGTATCTCTTTATGATTTCAACTGTTGAAAGTCAATGAGAAAAATCAGAATCGTGTCTCCAACATCACAATATCATGTTTCTTTGTTCCTGTTAAATTTTAAAATGTTTTTATTGAAATTAAGAAAGATTGTAATTGATTTCCAAAATGTATGTAGAAATCTTATATATTTGAAATTGATTGTACCAAATTTAAAACTGATATGATTTTTCATAGTGTTTACCACAAAATAAAAGTGTTATTTGGAAACGCTGCACAGACAATTTCTACCACCCTCAGTGATGTTACTTTTTGATTCCAATTTCAGTGCCACCAAAATTACGTGGAGGAAAAGATGGTCGAAATGAACCAGATAAAGCGAAAGTAATCGTCAATAACACAGTTGCGTTACGTTGTCCTGTGGCCGACGATGTTGACCCAAGGCCGTCAGTGCAGTGGTATAAAAATGAGCGCCCCCTACGGTTCAACCCGTCAGACTCAAGAATTCAGATATTAAAAGATGGAATGGAGTTGAAGATATCGCAAGCTGAAGTAGACGATACCGCCAGATATAAATGTGTAGCAACCAATATTGCTGGTGGGATTGAACGAGATTTTGACTTGGATGTTCAAGGTTTGCAGAATTATCTTTCCTTTGTTAATTTTTCACCCAATGTATGTAAATGATAGCTTCTCTCTAATCACCTTCTCTAAATACTTTTCTTACTGTCATTTAAATAATATTATTAAATGTGATATCTTTCCTAATCATTACTGTTGGTATATGGAGTAAGCAGAACACAATGTCCTGTTCTACGAGAAATCTTAAGACCTATTCTTATGGTGAGATTTTTTGTGGAACCGGTCTTAGATTCTGAAAACTAAAAGAACTGTTGCTATGTAGCATATGGTTATAATCTTACATTATTTTATGAAAGTGTCAAATGAACTATGTAATTTTCTAAATTTTCTTTACTGGAAATAACCTTGAAATATGATATAAATAAAACCCCAAGTACTAACGATCAGAGCCACAAATATACCCTGAATTCCAATTAATTACAATACATTGGTAGCAGCTAATGATGTTTGATTTTAGTTCCACCAAAGATTGATTCAACAAATGCGTCACCTGACAATATGTCTGTTGTGATTGGTCAACCACTGTACATCAACTGTCCAGTCTCTGGAACTCCACCTCCTCAAGTCACATGGTATAAAGATGATCAAGTAGTCTCCCCTGAATTAGATCCCAATCTACGAATCCATGCCAATGGTCGTCGTCTTGAGATTGTTAGTGCTAAAGTGACAGATAGGGGGCGCTATCAGTGTGTAGGTGAAAACGTGGCTGGTGAAACATTAAAGAATTATACTGTAGACGTTTATGGTAAGTTTGATTTTCTTCTTAAAACAATATCTTGGCCAGCCTTTATCACAAGGTGAAAGCTGTACCTATCTGAATCACATCCAATGCTCAAACATATGCGAGGTATGCTTATCTGAACAGTAAGTCTTCAAACCAATAAAAAATTATGGTGATAGATATGAAATGGATTCAATAGCTATCTTGGATCATTCAATGTGGAAATGAAGCACCAATACAGGTGTTTTTTTGGTGTTTTACATAATTTTTAGAATTGATTAAATAAATATTAAGAACACAAGATCTATGGATATACTACTTCTAGTTTTAGTACATACTACGTTTAGAAACACATACAGGTAACATTAAAACACAAGATATATAGATATACTATTTCTAGGTTTATTACATACTACGTTTAGAAACACATACAGGTTACATTAAAAACACAAGATATATAGATATACTACTTCTAGTTTTATTACATACTACGTTTAGAAACACATACAGGTAACGTTATCAAGTACAATGCTCAACTAAAAGTAGTATATCTATATAACTTGTGTTCTTAATGTTTACCTGCTTCTATATGTCTTACAAAGATTATATTTTATAAATAGGTTATTCTCATTTTTAATTAAATTACCGTTAATTTGTGGTTTCAGTTTTTGATCAGCCATTTCTTCTCCTGTTTTATGTTTATTTAATCAATGCTGCCTATAGTTTTAGACAATGAATTACCCCGAATAGTTAGTGAGCATGTCTGTGTTGTTTGTTTTTCAGTACCACCACGGGTTGACAACCCAGGAGTAATAGATAAAACAGAAGTTATAACCAATCAAACTATAAAACTGACATGCCCTGCATCTGGTATACCCCTACCTAATATCACATGGTTTATAGACAATCGACCAATCAAATCTAATACCAGTAAATATATATTATTGAACGATGGTTGGACGTTAACAATCGCTAACGCTGATGTTTCTGACACTAATAGATATATCTGTCGTGCTGATAATATCGCCGGGGAAAATGAAAAAGTTTTTGATGTAGATGTCTTAGGTAGGTCATTTTTGAAATAATTTTTAATTGAAATTTTTTTTTGTAAACAATATTTTATTCACAATGGTAAAGATATATATTATGAAAAGGATTTGAGAACAGGCTTCACCTATATTACCTCTCTCTATAATTGACAATTAAATGAAAAATGAAAGCTACACATTGTTTTGAAAAGGCTTGCTTTACTGTAAGAAGGGAAATGGTATGTTAATAAGATAGATGCTGTGATCAGATTGTATTTTACTTTAAGGCATTTATAAACTAGTAGGTTTTTCTTAAGTCCATATCAGAATTCAGACAATGGATCTAACTATGATGTGAAAAATTTAATGCTCAAAGAATTTGAAAAGTCTGTGTTCTGAAAATGTGCTATGTTCAGTTGAATAGTTTATGAAATTATTTTCTAGTTCCACCCAAAATTAATAAAGAAACCATCAACTCCAACCCCAACGTAATCGTCAATACAACAGCAGTGGTAAATTGTCCTGTAAGTGGTATTCCTACACCAGAGATATTATGGTATCGTAACGGTGTGTTATTAGATAGTAATATAAATCGTAGGTTTGAGATTTTAGCTGATGGTAGACAACTCCGGATACACTCGGCTAAGGTGAAAGATCGTGGACGCTATACGTGTTCATCACGGAACAGAGCTGGAGAAGATTCAACAGACTTTAATCTCAATGTTTGGGGTAAATATTTATTGTTTTATGCTGTTTTTCTGTTGATAAATTGTAAAAATTGGTGTGAGAGCAAAAAAAGAATTGATTGCCATAATGAATTCATTTATTTTCATTATTCAGAGTCTAGATCTCTTCCAGTTTTGAGTCTTTTTCGTAACTAATTTTAATTAAGCGTAAACCATTTCATTTTGCTCTTTGAACATAATGTCATTAGTTAAATAAAAAAAAATGGTTTCTTCTTTTCAGTACCACCAAAAATTGATAATCAGGGCATTAACCATAATCCAAAAGTCATCGTAAATAGTTCTATAACAATCGACTGCCCAGCCTCCGGGACCCCGCCTCCTCAGATCACATGGTATAAAGACTCTCAACCAATTGATATAATCGGAAATCGTCATCTATCTGTGGTCAGTCAAGGTACCCAGCTGGTGGTTCAGAGCGCGAGTTTAGAAGACACGGGAAGATATACCTGCGTGGCCAGAAATGAGGCTGGAGAAATTGATGAGAATTTTGAACTGGATGTTCAAGGTCAGTTGATCATGTTTATAGGCAGAGGGGATTTGAAATCACCCGGAGAAAACTGCCATGTACCTTTCCAACTCATCTATAAGTCCAAGTCTACAAGCTGACAAAATGAAGGCATGAAATGAGTCCATTTAGTAATTCGTAGACTTAAACTTTGAAATATTTTCTATTGTTTTGCTAATCGTTTTCGTAACAACAATTTTCGAATCTTAAATGAAGCTTGTCAGAAAAATGTTTTATATATATTTCAGTGCCACCAAGTATTCCAGATTTTGGAATTATCCTGAACCCCAAGGCTGTAGAAAATGACTCAGTAACATTGGACTGTCCTGCGTTGGGTCACCCTCTACCAGAGATAGTCTGGCTACAGAACGGTCAAGAACTAGATTTAGAAGACAACCCCCATGTTATGATACAAGATAAGGGGAGACGACTGGTGTTTAATGAAGCGCAAGTTAGTGATGCAGGAACCTATACTTGTGTTGCGTCTAACGAGGCAGGGACTAATGAGAAAAATTATGATCTGGACGTCTGGGGTTTGTAATTTTATTTATTTTTATTTCTTTAATATTTGAAATCTATTGTGAAAATTTTTAAAAGTATCATATTGTCCATATCAATTGATTTTATCAGTTTTTCAATATTTTTCTCCAAAGTTCTCAGATAGTCCAATAGCATTTTGCAAGTGGATCAAATTCTGTAAACTTTTGCTGCATTTTGAATCTCAAGATAGAGAGTTGCTGGTGTAGTCTGCCATTACTGTAAAATTTATTTCAAATTACGTCATCACTTATTTAATCCTGTCTCTTCTTTATATTCTAGTACCACCATCAATAGATAGTTCAGCGATAGATAATTCACCACGTGTTATTAAAGGTCATACTGCTACTATTAGTTGTCCAGTATCAGGAATTCCCTTCCCTAATATAACCTGGATTAGTAACGGACTAACTATTAAAAATGGTATTAGATTTAATGTTTTATCTGGTGGTTTACAACTTCGTATTCAGGTAGGACAATAAAATATAAATATTCTGGAGAAAGGATCATTTGACAATCTTATTAATATTAGATTACGATTCTTTTCTGTTTTCTGATATTTTTAGTCTACAATGTAATTTGTGTTATCTGGTATTGCTGATATAACATAAGATAAAATTAACAACAGACAGCCTTTTTACACAACCACTACCAATGGATGTCAAAACTTTGTAAGACTTAGTAAACATTCGATGTCCATAGGCTTCTATTATACTAATATTTGATTTTCCTAGTACATAATCTGTTATATTAGGGTTTCAAGTTAAGGTCTCTCTGGACCCCATGATTTATATAATAATTCTTTTACAACAAACGCCTTGTTGTTCCTTTAATATTTTAGGACACAACAGAAGAGGATTCTGCAGTATATCAGTGTATAGCTACTAATCCTGCTGGTTCTGATCGACAGGAATTTGAACTGGTTGTTTTAGGTATGGCTCTACCCAAGGTTCATTTTTGCTTGCTACTCAGGGACATAGTCACCTTCAAACCCAAAACTTAGCCTAGAAGAATTGCCAATGGTATTTTTTCTATGGTGTTACTGGTATATTATTTTGAAGTACCTCCAGTTTCTAAAAGATCTCATTCTAAAAGTATAAAGGTTGATATGGTCATTAAAGGAAATATAGCGTCCAGATAATTTGCTAAACCCAGTTTGTCCCTGTCAGTGATGCAGGTCAGAGGCGCCAATATGGAAAAAGTAAACTTTCATTTAATTTTCTTGCTTTCAGTTCCTCCAACAATCGATGAATCTAATGTGGTGTACAATCCTAAAGTAATAAAAGATCGTCATGTGATACTAGAATGTCCTGTTAGTGGTAATCCTGTCCCAGAGGTACAGTGGTTATTTAACGGGGCTCCTGTTCAGAATACAGACCGTGTTAAGGTGGTGAAAAATGATCTACAGTTAGAGATATCGCGAGCTCAGGTAGTTGATACGGCCAGGTATTCCTGTATTGCGACTAACGAGGCAGGAGAACTCAGGAGAAACTTTCAACTTGAGGTCTTGGGTGAGTCTTCTTTCTGTTTCCTTACCTATATTTGATAGGCGTATCTTACTGTTGATATATATTTGAATTATAAAAGTTATCAGAAGCTTGCTGAGTAAAATAAAGTTTTGATTTTTTTCTGAATTTCAGTTCCCCCAGAAATTGATCGAAGTAAAATCAAGACGAATGAGTCAGTGATACAAAATAAAACATTGTATCTTGATTGTCCAGTCTCTGGCATTCCACCACCATCTATACTCTGGTTACGTAATACTGTAGCCTTGATCGATTCTCCTTTTGAGAACCTACGATTAATGGATAACGATCAGAGACTAGAGATAAGTAACGCCCAAGTAGAGGATTCTGGGATATATACATGTAAAGCGAGTAACGGAGCAGGTCGTGATAAAGTTGATATTAAGGTGGATGTTCAAGGTAAGGTTACCTTAAATAAAAATTTATCGTAAAATAGCTTGAAACTGTGCATTAGAATTTAAAGCACTGAAAAAATATTTGGAAATATGGCCCCACCCATTAACTTCTTGGACGAACAAGTTCAAATAAACAATTTATTTTGTATTTCTAGTTCCACCATCTATAGAAGGTCCTGTCGGGGTTTCGGAAGTGGCAGTAAAAGAAGAAGAATCCATTACTCTATATTGTAATGTAACTGGTATACCCCCACCTGAAATAATCTGGTCCAAAAATAACGATATCATTGACCCCCAGGATGAAAACATGGACAATCTACGTATTTTATTGGACGGAAAGATTTTAAAAGTTCTGGACGCCTCCACGGATGATACAGCACGATATATCTGTCAAGTTAAAAACAAGGCTGGTGTGGCCGAGAAATTTTATAATCTAGAAGTTTTGGGTAAATATATTTAGATTTATTTACTTTATTGGTCTTTGCAAAGGCGTAGGTGATAGGGGCAGCGTCCGAAAAAATATCCTGCAACAACCTGAAAACAAAGAAAAATACAGGTAAAAATTGTGGGAAAATTTTGGTCAAAACATCCTGCCACCCCCCGTTCCTACTTTCACAAATTATTTTCAATATTCAAGACTGTAATGTGAAGGCATTGAGATGTACAGTCAAACTCATATAACAAAGCCCAGGTTGTTCATAAAGGTTTGATATTGGGGTTTCCAGATTGTTGACGGTGAACACAACTAGATAGTAATAGCATTGAGGTACAATATCACAACTACCAGAGCATTATTTTGGTTGGGGGCACTTGCTATCTCTTCAAATCAAGATGGCTATTGCTGAGTAAATGTATCAAATATATTTTACAGTCCCACCTAAAATAAACGGGTCTGATGAATTACAAGTAGTTCCAGTAATAATGGACCAATCAGTGAGATTAGAATGTCCAGCAGTTGGTATTCCTACGCCAGTGATACGCTGGTATCGTCAAGGGAAACAGATACCACTATATGGTCTACCTAATGTTCGTATTATTGAAAATGGACGTGTGTTGATTATTATCAGTGCCCAGTTGTTAGATTTCGGAGATTATAGTTGTCAGGTACAGAATGATGCTGGGAAAGATAAACTGGAATTTCTTGTTTCTATTCTGGGTAAGTAATCTATTTTAGCTCTTGATTGGAGAGTTCTGAACAGATTCCGTCTTATCTGATTCTGGTCTTAATCGAACAGTACAGAAGCGGATATGTCACTTTTGAAATTTCCCAACTCTTAATTTTTGAATTCTGTCTGCAACAACTATTTTACTACCCTTAGAATGAGTTCTGAACTCTGCTTCAACTTGTTTTAATGAACTCACCAAGCGAGCAACCCGTATTAGACCTGTCATATTGTAACATTGTGGTCTGAAAATATCAAGTCTGTATTAAGAGTTATCTCCCTTGAGAGAATAATGAATAAGCCTGAATAAAGATATGGTGGTCATGATTTAATATTTTCAATAAACTCTCGTAATGATTACTGGCATCTTTTGCAAAATTTTTTGAGAAACAGTCCTATTTTTCATATTTACAGCTTTCATCTGACAGATTTTGTCTAAATAAGAAAATATTTTGCTATGTTAAGAAGATTTAAAAAAAAAACATGTAGGCTATCATAAAATATTTTTGGATATTTTATTTCATGGATGAATTCTATTTCTAGTGCCACCAGAGATAAGAAACGGACCTCGTCAAGTTGCAGGCATTGTAAATGCTAAAGCTGTGTTAGAGTGTGAGACCAGTGGTCAGCCACGCCCAGATATAACGTGGCAGAAAGATGGTGAACCTTTCCCGTCAACTGGTCTTCGTCACCGTATGTTACAGTCAGGGTCGTTAGAGTTTGTGGGCGTAAGAACAGAGGATACAGGAGAGTATACATGTACCGCATCTAACGATGCTGGGAACGTCACTCGCAGTATTGGACTCAGTGTTTCAGGTAAGAAAATATACCTAAAGATGCCCTCACATCATAGTGATCTCCAGCTGCATATGGTTGCGAATAATGAAAGTGGCCATGAGTTCAGAACACAACTCAAAACTCAGTTACATGAGAAATGTGTTCAAAAATTATAACTACTCTTCTTATTAACAACCATAAACAACTGGTAATCGTTATATTGTTGGTGATCACAAAGTTTTATGAAAATTCTATAGGTTGAAATAGTTTCGTAGATATGGAATTTCCTGAGTACCAATTTGTATTGTTTTTAGTTATCTCAAATCTACAATACAATTTCTCACTTTGATATTTTACACTTATGGTTATTCTGAAGAATAATTCCAGTAGAAGTTTTCTTCAAGTGCCAAATTTTTTTGTCCAGATTTGTTTGGAAGATGTGTAGCTAAATTTCTTATGACTGAGTAAAAGATAAAATGTAAAACCAGCTGAAGATTCTACAACATGTGATACAAACTCTTTGTTGTTTTTTTTTCAGTACCTGCCAAGATTCTACCTGAAGGTCCATCAACTGTAAAATCACCGATTAATTCAGAAATATTGTTACCGTGTGAGGTAGAGGGATCACCTAAACCTAAAATATTATGGTTACGTAACCGAGGAATCATCAATAGTGACGCTAATGGTGGGTCACCTTTTTAAGGATTTTCTTTTAATTTGTGCGTTTTGTGATCAATTCAGCATGCAGTTTATCACATTTAAAATTTGTTTCCAAGTTACACAATTCTGTATCTTTTGATTTATTGTGCAGGCTTATGTCGAGGCTACTATCTCTGGACTGAAGTTGTTAAGGATCTCGCTACGGTTGAAAGTTTGTCTTTTTCTGAAGTTCTCCTTGTAGCTTGTATAGTGTTTCCCAGCTTAATTACATAAAGATGCAGATGGCGAGGTTTAATACGCTATTTTTCTTTATTATTTAATCATCCTCCTTACATGTGTTTCTATCTTTAACTCAATAAGGTAGAGAAATTAGGATGTAAAACTCCAGTTATTTCTATTATTATAAGATCCTATGTTCGTGTTTTACTAAAGATATGATATATATTATTAATTCTAGCTGGTTATACTATAATGGAGAATGGTAGTTTATATATACGTAATGTAGAATTATACGATACTGGGGTATATACCTGTATCGCTCAGAATCTAGCTGGTAACGACAACAGAGAAATTACACTCGAAGTTCAAGGTATGAAGTCATAGATTCTCTTGATGGGATACATTTTCGTCTTAATATTTTCATATAGGCTGGAAATAGGTCAGTTGTCTGAAGATCATAGCGTGAAACTCTGAGTAGCAACATGATTTGAATCTGTTTTAATATTTATATCTGAGAATTGATGAATATAGCTGACTGAAGTTAAGGTGGTATAGAAATTGTCTAGAATATACCCTTTGAAAAAGATGTCACATTTTAATTGTGAAAATCAATATGAATAGCTGTTATTAAGTTCTATCAGCTCCATTGTATACTGGAAAAGATGATTGGTAGACTGGTTCAATCATTTATATTTTTATTTATTCCAGTGCCACCTAAGATTGATGTATTCCAGAAAGAATTCACTGTACTTCAGAATAGAACAGTGGTTATCCCTTGTTCAGCAGACGGAATCCCCTCCCCTAAAATACGGTGGCAGAAAGACGGGAAGGATATCACCCCCACTAACTATGATTTATCATACAGTCGTATCCATTTTATAACGTTACAAACTGGTGGACTGGCTATACCACATACTAGGTTTGTTGTCCGATACTTAGCAGATATTGAAAATATTTTTAATGGAGGTTGTAAGCTAAATAAAGTTTAGCTGACCTTCAATTCCATTCTAAGCTTCCTTTGATTAGACTTTTTAATGCTAATCTTTAATCTATTTTTTTTACTCAATCAAGTAAATTTCTATACATTAATAGAGCTTCAAAACTAGATGAAGTTCATTAAACCTACTAGATTCAATTTGTGAGTTCAGAGTTGAATTCTCAGGTCCTATCAGCATCTTCCATAACCTAAATCTAAAGTAATATCGAAGTTAATGCCTCTTGTGATTTGTCCTTTTAGAGCAGAAGATGCAGGAACCTATACATGTTTTACCACAAACCAACCAGTCTTTATTCCTGTCTGTATTAACTGTGTGTTCAGTAATATCAATATGATTGTTTTATGTTTTTAGAGCAGAAGATGCAGGAACCTATACATGTTTTGCTATCAATGATGCTGGTAATGATTCAGTTGAATTAGATCTTGTAGTTCAAGGTATGTTCTTTAATTCAAAAACTCACTGCCTCATATAAATTATAGAGACATTTACAGGAATCACTCATTATGGATCTGGCGCCCTGGTGTCTCATTGAGTTTGACACTTGCTCACTAACCTGAAGATCAAAGTTTATAATTAAATTCTATTGGCTGTTAAAAATGAAAATTTAAGATTTGAGGCTATAGTAAAATGTATTTTTGGTTTCTGTAGTTCCACCTCAGATTCAGACAGCGCCAAGACAGTTCCAGACTACAGTAGGAGATGAAGTGGAACTGCCGTGTGATGTCAAGGGTAACCCAAAGCCGTGGATTGATTGGTCAAGAGATGGTAGACGTATTGATACACGAGAGGCAAGGTTTACCATCACAGAGAATGGAACACTGATTATATCGGATATTTTGGTGAGTAGATTTAAAATATTGTTCAATTAGGGCCTTAGTTTTCCAGGATGACTTTGATTCAAAGATAGAACACACCGTGAAATTATGATCACCATCTTTATTCCGGCTCTCCACTTATCTCTGATGGGAGATAACTCTTAATACTGACTTGGTATTTTCAGACCACTATATTACAATATGTTATACGAAATTATTACAAAATCTAATATATTGATTAAATTGTAAACAGATGATACCGGGTGGTATGTGTGTACAGCATCTAATATATTGATTATATTGTAGGCAGATGATACCGGGTGGTATGTGTGTACAGCATCTAATATATTGATTATATTGTAGGCAGATGATACCCGGTGGTATGTGTGTACAGCATCTAATATATTGATTATATTGTAGGCAGATAATACCCAGTGGTATGTGTGTACAGCATCTAATATATGGATTATATTGTAGACATATGATACCCAGTGGTATGTGTGTACCGCATCTAATATATTGATTATATTATAGACAGATGATACCGGGTAGTATGTGTGTACAGCATCTAATATATGGATTATATTGTAGACAGATGATACCCAGTGGTATGTGTGTACAGCATCTAATATATTGATTATATTGTAGACAGATGATACCCAGTGGTATGTGTGTACAGCATCTAATATATTGATTATATTGTAGGCAGATGATACCGGGCGGTATGTGTGTACAGCATCTAATATATTGATTATATTGTAGGCAGATGATACCCGGTAGTATGTGTGTACAGCATCTAATATATGGATTATATTGTAGACAGATGATACCCAGTGGTATGTGTGTACAGCATCTAATATATTGATTATATTGTAAACAGATGATACCGGATGGTATGTGTGTACAGCATGTAATATATTGATTATATTGTAGACAGATGATACCCGGTGGTATGTGTGTACAGCATCTAATATATTGATTATATTGTAGGCAGATGATACCGGGTGGTATGTGTGTACAGCATCTAATATATTGATTATATTGTAAACAGATGATACCGGGCGGTATGTGTGTACAGCATCTAATATATTGATTATATTGTAAACAGATGATACCGGGTGGTATGTGTGTACAGCATCTAATATATTGATTATATTGTAGGCAGATGATACCGGGCGGTATGTGTGTACAGCATCTAATATAGCAGGTAGAGATTCTCAGAGCAGGTTACTCAGAGTTCAAGGTATGTACATCGTGTCTAACTCCCAACATACTTGTGATAGTAATTCTTCTGACCACAATCCTAGATAGAATTACCTGTAATATGATCTTGATCTTGTGGCTAATGGTTTAAAAATAAAACAAGAAACTACAATTTGTTACAAGGGTAATAAGTAAGGTTCACGAAGATCCTGTCTTCATGCTGGTCCTTTACTCTTAACATTGATCTTTCTCAGATTATCCATACCCCTTTACGGTTTGGTCAACTGAAATTATGTCGAAAGATGTCTATTAGGGTCCCTGGACTTCAACCACGATTAGAACCCACTTGTATTTGGTGTGCAGGGCGTACATCTTCTACAAAAATTACCAGAAAATTTAGTCCTCTCAAATTATAATGGTGATGCATTGTGTTTATTAAAATAAAATTCATGAAAACTTTTATAAAACTTTTTTTCAATTTCAGTTCCCCCGAGACTGGTAAGAGTACCAAGAGATCAACAAGTAACGATGAATTCTCCTTTAGAATTACGCTGTGCTGCTGTCGGTGTTCCTATCCCAGCTATCACCTGGCAACTCAACGGACGACCTTTAGCTTGTAGGTAACTTCTTTTAGTATTCTTTGTTTCCCTGGAATTTAAAAAATGAAATGGAATTTTATGCCCACAATTGGCAATGCAGTGTAGTGTGCCATGAGGGAAATTTCACCAAGACATCAGTATTTGCCGGCTCTTTTTCAATTTCCAAATGTGGAGAGCTTTATTAGCAGCATTCACGGCATGGAAGAGAAAGATATTTCATATACACCAAAGAAATCTGATTGTTTTTAAACTTAAATGAAAAAAATATTTTTTCCCACGATATGAAATTGCTTGATAAAGACGAAAGCATCATCGTCGAAACGTTGCAAGTTATTTATTAAAGTAATTGTTATCTATATAATTGTGTCCAGTTATTCATACCCCAGTTACTAAAAACCACTCAAGGAAAAATGAAATTGTTTGTTTTTATTATATTTTTGATAACTATTTAAACTGTATTGATATATATTGTAAAAAACCATTGATATAAAGATAATATATTTCAGCGTCTAACAGTGTCAACGGTCGAAGTGTCTATCTA